TTTCTTTTTTGGCATATTGTGACGTTATGCAATAACAAATATGTCAGTTTTGCATGAACGATACGGTTTTCTTACCACATATACTTTCATCCTCGTTCTCGGGACATTCCGTTCTTCCGTTACACTGGTACAACTCAGATATACAGCTGCGATCCCGGCATACAACTTGTCCATCGGGACAAAGCTCTGAAACAACAGAATAACACCGATGTATATTTTAAACAAACATGCAAACCATAGAGCACCAATAAAAGATCTAGACAGCATCGTCCATCAAGTTCTCACTAATTCAAATTTTACTTACGGCCACATTCCAATTCATCTGAGCTATCTTCACAGTCAATGACGTCATCACACAGGTACTTTTTAGGAATACAAAGCCCATCTCCCAAACAACTGAACTGAGTGAGGTCATCACATGCTAGAAAAAGAGAAAATGCGTGTTGAAAATAGACACGTGAAACAGAAATGCTCGATTCTGGTGTATTTTAACATAAAAATGGCCGAAATTCGGCCATCTTAATTCGGGCACTCAAACAAATGCACGTACATATGTATACAATATGAATGTGATTGGTCAAGACAGAGCATTCGTTAAAACAGTCGGCCATTTTGAATCATATCTGGAAATAAATGACGTGCATGAAGATTCCATAATGCCAATGCATGCAAGTTTGAATGAAATGGGTCCATATATGACCAAGATCCAGTCCCGGAACGGCAAAAATAATTGATTTTGATGAATTTCAATCACAAAACAGGCCGCCATTCGGCCATCTTGAATCGGATCGTGAAACGAATGGATGTGCATATGTATTACAAGATATATGTGTTAAGTTTGAATGTGCACGTACGCTAGCACGTATGCACAGACGAACAGACACATGGAGTCTAATCTGTAAGTTCCCGTTTTCGAACTACGTCCGAGCGAGAATTACAAATGATCAGACTGGGTAATTCCTTAAGCGAATAATCATTACTATATACCATAGACCCTCTAAAAGAGGGTCTATGTGTATACTCACTGCAGTTTTTTTCATCAAAGAGGTCCCCGCAGTCGTCGAAACCGTCACATCTTCTATCATCCGAGACACACGTGAAAGTTGTTGGGCACAGGAAGGATCCTTCTGCGCATTCTAAAAATAGTAGCAAACGTAATATGGTGATTCGAACATACGAGGAATATATAATATAGTGTTATAGTATCCCTGAATACGCCTTCGTCACAAACGACAGCGCATTACGTACCCACATTGCTTGCAAAATACTCTGTTCAAAACCGTAATTACGATATTTTTGCGAACACCCTTCTAAAGTCGTCCCGTCTGCGTCATAACGACATTATACATTTCACGTTACCAATACGAGACATATACACACAATTTTTGATACGTACCATAAACGCAGTCTCCGCCTTCGTCACTACCATCTTCACAGTCTACATAACCATCACATTTATAAGTGACGGGTTTACACTGACCATTGTTACAAGCAAACTGATATACTGGATGACAATCTGGTAAGAAGCACAGTTACCGGTACACCAAGTTACATTGACACGTTTGGCAAATGAAGGCAGACATGAATAATTGAATAAATATAATAATGAAGAAGATTCGTGAAAAAAATTGCTGTGAACTTTTTTTGAAATTTTTTTTTTTTTAAATTGATTATATTGGATATTTTGTTCTTTGAGCTTATACTTTTGTAAGAATAGCTTACTTGATGTACTCTCTGTTGTTGTTTTCGTTGTTGGTGGTTGAGTAGTTACTCTCGCTGTTCTCCCAGGTGTAGATGGTCGCATAGTTGTCATAACAGATGTTTCTGTTTGCATGGTGGTTATTGTCGAGGGTGGTGCACGTGTAGTAAATGGCGGAGGTGGGGGAGGTGGAGGAGGAGGGGGAAATGTTATTGTCACTGGCAGTACTGTTGACTCCACTGTTGTTGGTGGTAGTGTTGTAATATGTTCTAAAAATAAATAACATATTACAGGGGTTGGCATCTAATACACATTAAGTACCTTGGAAGATGGATATAAAACTCCTCTTTTATAGGTACGTACCCGTTATTACTATTGAATCTGTGTCTATTTGGAAAACTGTGTCTCCTACTATGATGGTGTGATGTAAAACCTGTTTTAATTCAACAATAGATAATTGGTAGTTTTTCCGTTTTATCTTGAAGACTAACATAAAGTCGACAATTATACTTCCATTCCTGAAACGAGAAATAATAAAACTAAAAGTAAACAAATGCTTGCCTGGCTGATTGCAATACATGTTGTATCTACTAGTATATTGTAGCTCTTCAATGGACAGTACTATCTGTACCCCCTCTCCTGGATTGAATCATTATTATTATTTTTTTTCATTATATATCTATCACAAAATAAAGTCTTTGTTCTCGATGTGGAAAATGTAATATATTCACCGATAATTATTGAATATAACACCTTTTATATGACCCCCTAGCCTACTGAAAAAAACACATTTAGCAGTACCTGACGTCCAGCAGCTCACTGTACAAGAACTCGACAAACTGGTCGACACTAACGTATGTCTCGTGTAACTAGGAATAAGAAAATATAACGTGTACACTTCAAACTTCACGCTGTAGGTATATATATTTGAACTTGAACGGTGAAAGCTAGTCTGGCTTCAGTTGGGGAAATTATATTATTTACAATAAATATTAACAAAATCCTTTTTATTTAATGACTTATTTGCAAAGCCGTGGTGTAAACCCGAAACCTCCTTGTATTTCATGAAACTCCCACTTTCACTGGGCCAGTCTGTGAGAAAGTGCACGGTAATTTATGTAGAATTAGACGATACAAGCAATCGTGACAGTGCAGACACATTTCAGGCAATGTCACGTGATCTCCGAAATCATTGCAGTATGTGTCGGATGTTTGCACCGTGTCAATCAACCACGCCTCACTCTGTTGCAGACAGATCACAAACGAGATACAAAAACACGCACGCACACACACGAACGCAAACGACACTTCGTAAGAAGCCACACGATTGGGTAATTGAATAATAGCTTGCATATGAATGAGATCTTGTTTTACCATATTGGTTATATTCTGTTCCAATACTTGATATTGTGGTGTATCTGGATTATCGTATTCATCAAGATATTCAGCTGCCATATAGTCAATAAATGTAATTGCAAACGTCCCGTGGTAAGTTTGCGTAACTGAAACAAAATGATTTCATATCATTAAATTTTACGACGGGAAATTACGGTCAAATCATTTTAAAATCGCCATATTGAATTCAGTTGATGATTGAAGAATCTATGAAAGTGATTCTTACCATTCATTTCAGGATCCTTGGCCTTTTCCTCGGAATTCGTTTTATCTGTGTCCACTTTAACGAAAGATAGATAAATAAATATCTCGGTGTTGGAATGAATAATTTAAAAGAGAACATACTGGCATCTATCCAATGTATTCCAATGGACGTTAAATGACAAATAAAATAGACGTTGAACATCATTGCTGTCACTTCTGTCAGAATGGAAACTATGAAATCGTGGAGACAAACGTATATTTGGAACATACACTTGAGAAAATTGTCAAATCATCCCTATAAAAACTGAATCGCACAAAAGGCAAACTTCCTTACTTTTGAAGAATGCGAAGAGCACAGTGGCGGCAGTCACTACACATACTACACATAAAATGAAAATACACCCAATAACACGGCGGCGATCTTCTTTTTTCACTTCCTTGGGATCTTTTACCGGTATTGTATAAACTGATGACACATTTTGGGCAAGTCCTGTACGTGACCCATGTTGTTGATCTCTACCAATAGAGATGTCATCAAAATTTACTTGCTGAAAAAAAGATGAAATTTTGTTGTGAGGAAAGGTGCAACTCATTTAATAAATAGGTGTAACATTTGCCGTTCCAAAAAATACAAAAATACATGTTATGGAGCTGGGTTTACCGCAGATTTCGTGGTAAGAGTCTTTAAAGTCCAACTCATGGTATAATTATTTTAATTGATTGATTGATACAATAAACATAATCATACAACTCTTAAAAACATCATGTGAAGTACCTAATGACAGATATTTTAACATATAATTCAATACTGAAAACATGTCTTTTTCGCGAGCATGTCTTTTTAGCGAATTTAGCGAGAGAACTAATTCGCTAATTTAAGATGTCGCTAATAATAATAATAATCTGGAGCACTTCCTTATTACGCAGTTTTTCTTTGTTTTTATGGTGGTAATAACTGCGCATTTGTTTGGCAGGCGATTGAAGTATTGTAAACACAGGAAATCAACAAAGACATGAGAGATTCGTTAAATCAACATTTCGCTAATACGTCATTTTACCACAATTCGCTAATTAAAAATAGTACGTCGCTTTTTCAACATGTTTTACAGTCTGTAATCACAAATCAGCGGTCTCGCTGTTTTTGTTAAGAAATGTGATAATTTATTTTCAAGAATTACTATAAAAAAAGAGGAAAATTTATGTATTTTTTTTTCTACTTTTTATACATCAAAATAAAAGTAATTGTATGCAGAAATGTATTCTGAAAACAGATTTGAAATTGGTTATTTAAATATGACTATTAATACTATTACACGTCATAATTGTATATTATGTGCTTCAACACAATGTTCAAATGCCATTAAGCTACGGGAAGTTACAATACTCATTTATTTGATTTTTGGTATATTCAGGTTTGTTGTTTGTTTTAAAAGGAAAAAATATGAAAACATTAACAATTCAAGAGAAGCCCAAGCTCAATTTGCATATTTATCTATAAGAATGACGTAATCGTCTCAATAACTTTGTTTTCATTCTTCTCATAAAAAACATCATGTGATATGTCGAAAAATGTATTCTGATGTAAAATTACAGATTATTTCATTATGAATTACTGAAAAAAGTAATATATTCTCATTATGCCCAACACTTACGAGTTTTATAAAACTCGAAGATTATTCTTTTAATCTAATGACAGAACCTGGGTTTACAAGGTAATTTACCAGAAATTTGAAACATTCTGATAAGTAATGATCATTATTGTTGTTGTTCTAATTAACACATTACCTACAAGAAGTTACCATTGAGAAATATGCCATAAAACAGATATGGCTTTAATAAAGCAAAATTCTATAGAAGTGTCTACAGAAGAAATGCAAGTGTTTTCATCTGAATCTACAATTATATTTCATTGCCGCATATTTTATAAATTCTCGACTAAATGAGACGAAGGTAGACCAATAAATGTTTTCACCACTGTTACAAATGCGACTAAACGTACACAAAGACTGGCAAGACGGTGCAATGTTACAGAAATAAGTTATCAGATACAAGTTACAAGAAAAAAACAAACAAGAGACGCTTAGCTCACGTTTTCCCAACTTTAATGTCACTCGAAAAAATGCAATGTGTGAAACAAATAATAACAATAAAATATGAAATAAATACATTAACATCATCTTCATAAAATGTCTGAGCGTTAACTCTGAAAGTGCCTTATAGAATGGCAAACTGTCTAAAATATCTACAGTATCAGAATTGTAAATGTTTAAAAAGTCGAGGCACCGAGGAATAAAGGAATATTACCGTAAATTTGTACGATAGCGAGGTAGTTTAAAAGATGTGCTTGAAGATGCATGACAATTAGCTTTGGAAATAATGTAAGAAGAATAAAAAATTTTAAGACATTGATTGACACTGAACTGACTTGTGCAATCATTATAGTTTATCCCCTATCTAGTCAAGTCAATGTAAAAGTGCCTGGGAGAGAAACACACCTGGCCATGAAGAAACACATAACAAAATGTATGTTAGAACCGGTTACTGTAAAACCATTTATTTTCACTGACATTTAATTTTTTTCACTATTTTGATGTTTTGAACATATTTACAGTGTTTTAATTTCATAAATTTAATTTATCTGATTTTACTTATCAGCGAAATTAAAACCCAGTTAATAATTAATGCATTTACAGTATATATATATATTCTCTTAGACTCGTACATAACTCCGACAAACTAGTAACTAAAAAATACAAGTTTGTTTTATATTCACTATGACATAAAAATATAAACCTCTAAGTCACGTGATCTTAAATAAATTAAGATAAATTACCTTTCGTTGACCTATTATATGATAGTTTTGTATGAATAATTTGACAACAGTTTACAATTGTCATAACAAATACAGTATTTCCAAAATCAGAATTCTACATCAAAATACCTTTCATTTGATATATCACATTAGATTTTTAGAGTTGATTTAATTGAATATCAACCAATTAAAACTATAACGTTATTTGTTGATCTTTAAAAGTTTATATCACTAGATCTGCCATCAACCAAGCTCCACAACATGAGATTTTAGCGGCAAATGTCACACCTATATATTAAATGCGGTATATATTTTCTCACGGGAGGGGCGGCATCTTCCTGATTGTGGCCGTTCGACCATGCAATCAATTACGTGTGTTCAGTTGTTTTATTGACCTGCTTTTGTGATACAATCAAACCATTCACCCCGCAACAAGTGAACATAGGCTGCAACTTATTTATGTTATAACTGATACAATTGTATCTCTTTAGTTTGACTAGTCGCCAAACAAAAGGTGTCTGGTTAATTATCTTTCGAGTAAATTCTACGTCAGATGAAACCGATTCTAATTATAGTCGAGCTCTGTAAAATCATGTTGTCGATTTCGCAATCTACCAATTCATTACAATTACAAAAACATTCTACCTCGTGTCCTTAGGCGAAGTGGCATTGGTATGTCAGATTTCGTAAACAGTAGTTTATACAGTAGAAAGTTACAGGCACGGATGCGTCGTCTGAAATAATTGGTTTACGTATAGAGCTCCACATTGTGTGAAACATTGCTAGTCTAGATTCACCGACTCGCATGGTCCTTATTCGCAAATGGCAGCACAGGGCTCATTGAAAGCGAGAGAGCAAGATAACTTGTTTTCGCTCCTCGAATTGTGTGTCTGTACTAAGTTGCCATCGTATCCGCTGTTCCAAAAAACATGGTTTCCATGCTCACGGGAACAGAAGACGCGATCACGTTAGGGGTTTAGGAGACTATTTGGGCACGCAACGTGAAACCACGCCCAATTGTATCTCGAGGTTTAAAGCCGGTAGTTGTCGCGCCACGCATGCGCGAGATATATGGGTCTCGTATAAACACAGATGGCGACTTTGACTGTTGCGTAGATAAACGAGTACAAACTGAGACGTTACCAAGCTTTAATAAGATATTTTAGGTAATTGGAAGGTATCAAAGGAGTCACTGGTGGTAATTAGTGCAAGTCGCGCCCAGGTCAAACCTCATAGTAGTGATTTTCATTAGAAGAGCGCATTGGATTGTTGTAAAATCAATGTTTATCAACACAAATCGCACATGCGCAGCGCAACGACCACCGCTCTTTAAATTACCAGTAAACAGAAGTTCGAGTTACGGGCAATATACATTTTGTGAACGTCCACATTTACTACTCGAACTTGAATTAACAGTTACGGGCAGCATGAATTTGTTGTTTTGTTTAACGTTCAATTTTAATAACTCGAATTAAATTAATTACCATTCAACTGAACTTCGAGTTATGGCAACATAAAACGTTAAATAACATTAGCGATTTATGTTGCCCGTAGCTCGAAGTACGGACAACAATTGTTTCTTTTAACCACGGTTTCTACTAGTAACCGTGTTTTAACTTTCAAGTTTCGTAATTCGAAATTTAATTAACAGGTTATCGAATATCGAGTTATAGGCAACCTTGATTGGTGGTGTTATTTGAAGGGTGGTGGTCGTCACCCAGCGTGTGTTCATGTAAACAAATAATATACATGTACTAGTATTTTACACGCGTTGTGTACATCGCTATAAGTCCCATGTCGAACAGGACGCGGCGCGACGACCACAAACTTAGGCCCAGTCCTACAGGTTAAAATATCATATTTATATTTTGGGCGTATGCAGATAGTCAGTAGAACTGTTATTGGGTAGGTAATGATATCCATCAAATACTATAAAAAAGCGGGCGGAAGAAAGTATCGTTTTACAACGCTGTAGTTAAAGGGCGGTGAACGTCATACCGCGTCCTGTTCGGTATGTGACTCACAACGCGTGTAAAATACATTGTTTGTTTACATGAAATTAGAACACGCGCTGCGTGATGATCGCCCGCCGCTCTTTAAGTATTAAGATGTTGGAGAGAACATCGAATTAAGAAAACTTCAAGTTACATGCAGTAAACGTAACTTTTATTGTCTTCTTTGAATACTATAAAGGTGCGGGCGGACGTATTGTTTTTTTGTTTTGTTTTTTACAACGCCGTAATTTAAGTATTACGATGTTGAAGCACGAAGCGGTCAAGTAACCGAACACCACTGATGTACGTAGATGGTTTTGACATACACTGCCATCTGAAACGTTTCCAATGAGGATAAATTGTGTGTCTTCAATAAACATTTTACAAATATCGACGTAGTTCATGTCATTCAGACAATGTATCTACTATAACAGTGCAAATAGTAGCTGATTCATCGACTCTTTCAACACAGTGGGTTGGCCTTTCTCCTTATTTACCCACACAAGTTACTGGTATCACACGTAGACTCCAATTATACACTATTTTCCCATGGTGTGAAATGTAAATCAGTCATCGAAGGCTTTAGTCTGTCAATATGCGTGTATTTCATCAAAACAGCGAACAATAGCGTTGAATTTTAGATAAATGTTAGGGCAGGCAAAACAACGTGTAA